CAGCATAATAAAATACTCTAAAACATACAGTTTACTATTGTAGAGAAGAATGTGACAAAATTTATTACTCAGCCCTTAGAAAATCTAGAAAGAGTATAAATGCAGAAAGAATGAATAGATTATTAAATTGGTCTTATAATGATGGAGAATAATGAATCAACAATTTAATTTCCAATCAGCTTAGTATATTTTAATCTGAATAAATCATGTAATACTCAGAGGAATGGCAAAAGTATGCCATCTGGCATAATTCTGATGAGCCAACCTGAATTTTATTTCAATCTGTGTGATGGATGTGTAAGCGCCTGTGAAAATACAATCTATAATATCATAAACTGCCAAAAAACTGATAATTTAAAAGAAAGCTTGAGCTCTTTAATGGGGGCTATAAAATCATTAAATATAATAAGAAAGTAATAATAATGTTACACATTTGGAATGTAGACACTTTATAAAAATAAGCGGATGATCATAATAGGCTACACTGATGTTATTTGAATTTTATTATGTTGGTTTTCACTGGAGATTAAAAAACAATTGTTTCCGATCACTAAAAATTCTTTATATATTCATGATTTACCATGTTTTAATTTTATGAGAAAATATAAAAAGTTGTGGTTAAATGCTGTGCTTGTGCTTGTACGTGAAAAGACAAGTATGTTTTAACTTATGTTTCTCAGGTAATGACATTAAATAAGAAAAGACCAAACATGTGGGAGGGGGGACTTCCTTATGCTAGTTACTATTTCCCTTTGATTTGCAAATAAGTCCTTCTTTTAAAGTAAATATGGGACTGGAGTCTACACTGACTTAACTATTAACTTTTACACCTGCTTTTCAGAGTTTAGACAATGACCTCTGATTAATCTGAGTCTGATATTATCTGTAACTTGCTATAGGCTACAAGAAGGTGCAGCAACTAGTTCTTAAAGTGGCATAATCTAATTATTTTCATTTAACCTAATTGATGTCTTATTTGGTTTTGCTATAATAATGAAGTATCTAAGTAAATACCATTCAGGACAAGAATCAGTGAAAAGAAAGATAAACATTTAACCATCAAATCTGAACTCTAAATTAGGTTTAAAGAAAATAAAAGAATATCTACAAAACATGAGCAGGCAAAATAGGCTTCTTAGACAAAACAGTAACTATCAGGCTGATACCCAATGTCTCTCCTGCAATACTAAACATGAGGAGGCAAAAGATGACCCACTTCCACGATGTTTTGAAGGGAAAAGGTTATGTCCAAGTAACTGAAACCCTGGCAAACTGTCTTAAGTTAAGATAACTGAGATTTCAAAATAAGTAAATTCAGATAACACAATCTCAATTTATATTTCTTTTCAAAAATGAACAAACTAAAGAGCTCAGCATGCAAAACAATAAGTAGTGATTACAGTCAGCTAAAAAATAAAGATGTGGTTATTTTTGATAACTAGGGCCATGGCACAAGGGGATATTCTTGTTTATTTTCTATCAAAGGGATCTCAAAAACAAATATGGTATTATTAATGTCAAAAAGAAAAAAAAACATTGTAAACAAAAAACTAAAGTTCATGTAATAAATGGAAATGCAGGAAACAAGTAAAAAGTGAGTGAGACATGTCAGATAAGGGGTTAATTTTCAAAATATATAAAAAGCTTACACAATTCAACATCAATATACAATCTAATTAAAAAAATAGGTAGAAGAGCTAAATAGATACTTCTCCAAAGAACACAAAGATGGCCAAGGAACACTTGAAAAAATGTTCAGTATTATTTATTATAAGAGAAATGCAAATCAAAACCACAATGAGATGTCACCTCACCCCCATGAGAATGTTTCATATCAAAAAAGACTAGAAACAACAAATGTTGGTGAAGTTGTGGAGAAAAATGAGCCCTTATTCAGGGTGGGTAGGAATGTAAATTGATACAGTCTATATGGAAAATGGCATGGAGATTCTTTAACAACTGAAAGTGGAAATGCCTTATGATCCAGTAATGCCACTCTTAGATATTCACCCACAGAATAGGAAAAGACTTAAGAATGCCTATGTCCACAGCAGCATTATTCATAAAAGCCAAGCTATGCAACCAACCCAAATGTCCATCAACAGACAGGATAAAGAAATTGTTGTATAAATACTCAATGGAATACCATTCAGCTATTTTAAATAATTATTTTCTCCCAACTGGTCGAAAATGTAATTTTGAGGGGATTATGCTAAGTGAAAAAGTTAGAAAGTAAAAGACAATTACAAATAATTCCACTCATTTATGAAATATAAAGAAAACAAACTGGCAAACAAAAGAAAATGGTTCATAGACTGTGAAAAATACAGGGATTACCAGAGGCAAGGGAGGAAAGAGTGGTAACATAACAGTGTTCAGCCCTGGAGCTTTGACGTAGGGTGAGTGAAGCATGTGCACACTTTGGGGTGTGAAGCTGTACTCCCCAAATTATATATTTATATTAACAAATGACAAATCAATAAATTTTGAGAATTAGGTAGACTACAGACCAAAGAGACAAAGATGGTTCTTGGGCTACCCTTATTTTACTGCAAGGTCAGTGAATTACATTATGTGCTATAGAATTACAACATCCTCTACAACCATATGTTTGTTTACTGAAAGGTTCATTCAGAATTCTAACATGAAATGTCAAGAAACATAACTTTCTCTTTTACAGAAGCTTGACAGTGTCTCATTTCTCATTTCCCTCACTTGCTGTAACTAGTATGTAGCATTCTCCTGAATCTGAAGTCATTCATGGTGGTACCTGAGGCAAGAGGAAAGTGGGAGTAATAATGAACTGAAAGGTACGCTGGAAAGTGGAGACTAAATACATGGTAAGACGCCATTCAGGGCCCAGTTTCAGTCATTCAGAAATTCTGGACTTTCTCTTTCTATTTTTTCCTTAGACTTCAGGAGTATCATGGGTCCACATTGTACAAAATTTGAATTTATAAATACCCCACCTTGTTAAATTTTTCGATAGACTTTTTCCTATTTCTCCTCTGTAAATATACTTCCTTCTCTTAAACCACTTCAGGGAAATAATGACACAGAGGTACAAAGGATGGAAATTAGGTAAAATTTTATTTCTATGAAAATCAGACCTTAACCTAGGTTAAGGCACCAGAGGATATTAGGTTACTAAGCAGACTGTGATTCTATTTAGAGGTTATAAAGAAAGGGACAAACTGAAATGTAAGTGTCAGCAAGGTAGGGAGCTATGGGGGCTGAGGCATAATAGAATAGCCAGAAAAACACATTAGATAGGAAGTTTGGTTCAAGTCACGACCTGAAACACATGGGTCTTGAGAGTGGCAATGTAAACCAAGTATACTGAAACTTATTTATTGCATGGAGTAGAAATGTTAGTAACATTTCTATCATTTAATAATCTAATTGAAATAGATAATCAAAAGACCAATATCTAAATTATATGTATTTTTAGATTATGTTCCTAATTCACTAGGATCATTTTGAGATTAGGATACTTCTGCAAATATTGTTTCTCACGATTTTTTAGGATTCAGGTCTATTATTTCAACATCTAATTAATGTGGAAATACACAATCAGCCCACAGGGTAAAACAAAAAACTCTGCCAGGATGCATTTTTCTGAGGTCTAGAATGTACACAAAAGATATGTAAATACAGGAAAGCCTATAAGAATAAAATAAATTTCAAAATTTTTAAATAATTTTGAATAAAATTTAAATAATTTTAAAATAATTTCATGACTGAGTATATTATACAAATATATTAAAATTATATTTTCTACAATTGCTAATCTTTTTAATATTAAAAAATAAAATCTACAAATGTAGAATGCAACTGGAGTTTATATTATAAACAAGTTCCTTTTTATGATTATATCAATAATTAACTGTTCAATATGAGTCCTTTTTTGGAGTCCTACCTATTAAATTACCAAACATGCTGAATCAATCATATTGGGTTTATTACAAAGTAGAAATGGAGTCAATTTCGTATTGTCAGTGAACAAATATTATTGTCAATAAAATTCAAATAGTTTAACATAGCTTTTACTTTCTTAGAAAAAGTACTGTCAGCTCTTTCTCACAATAGGAAATGATGCATTATATAGAGTACTAAAAACACTTATTGTCTAGAACAGATTAGAAATAATATTAAGCTTAGTGTACAGTAAGATATACTCCAGGCTCTTTTTCCCTATGAACCTTTCTAGCAACTGATGTGTCATACAAATATAACTGGAGATTAAAGGGAACCCTGTCTTCCTTTTATATTATCTTTTACAATTACTTTTAATATAGTAAATAGATACTGTAATTGTGAAATGTCTTTTGTTGTGTGGGAGTAATACAGAAGGGTGAGAGATAAGATCTCACTTCTAGAATAATAAAGCATAACACTAGGAGAGAAATGAAGCATAAAGGTCTGCGTGCACCACTGCAAAACATTTACTCCAAATAATGATGCTAGCACACTAAACACTCATTATTAAAACAGTGTAAATAAATCTGCCTAAAGATTTACTTTATTTTTCAAAAGTCTAAAGTATTTTTAAATTAAAAAACCCAAAACAACCCTAGAAATATGACTGTAGAATTGAGGGTACTAGAAGGGGAGGGAGGAGAGAGCTAGGAAGGGACCCCATAGTCTCAGGTAAAGGACTATGGGTGCTCTGGTGGTGGCTGTGTTGTGATGTACATCTGACACTGTGTGAACCTATTTCCCTAAGTCATAAATAATGTTGTAAACCAATGTTACCTCAATAAAAAAAAATTCTATTTATAACACTGATATAAACAAGTACCTGTAAAAGAGATAGTGCATCTTATTTTCCTTTATCTTGGCAAAAAATGGTAGTTTTCATTAATTAGAAAACATGGCTATAAATTTTTGGTAATATAAAGATTAAAAGAGTTTCCTACAATTGCATTTTTTGTCACTGTAACCAGTATCATTTTGTAGCTTCTCATTAGTAGTAACACTGCAGAAATAGATTGCCTTACCGTTGGTGCTGTATCTATATGATGGTTACAAGGTTTTCTTACTGTGCTGACACCTGTGAAAAGAAAAGTGTGAATATTTGCTTATAGTATGCATCCATTTTACTGTAAAAATGTTTAAGTCTGCAACATGTGATTCCTACAGTATACAAGAAAAAAGCTTCTTTTGGCTGGCAGGATTCCTTCAAGTTTTACCAAGAATACATTGATAAGAAACAGTTCAAGAGGTTAGTTTACTAAGAAACCTGACTCAAGGTGAGTTAAGCCAACTTTCCCATTCAGTGCTGTGTCCAGCAACAGCACAAGATGTGTCCACATCCTGCTTGGGGCTCTGAAATTATACCATTATGTCTGTTCTGCTGTATTTCTTCCATAAAAGTTCCATTTCTGACTTGAGGTCACCAAGTTTTCATAAAGCAACATCATGAGGGCAACAAAAGGAATCAGTTCTTTATTTTCTCAAAAGGAATAAATAAGTCTATTTGAATTTCTCTTTGATCATTTGACTTCCTACTATGACATAGTCTGCTATCTATTCAATCACCACAGAGCATGTGAAGAAAAGAGTTACTCTGATTCCTTCCTTTAAAATGATATTGACTGCTAACTTGAGAAAAAATCCTTTAATCATGTGTGGATTTACCTTTTTGTTCCCAATATTCTCTAGTGAATTTTAAAATAAACAGCTTCTACAGATGTAACACATTGCATCTCATCTATGAAAAAAATACTGGTTCAAAGTGTGGCTCAAGTTAAAAAAGAACACAGGTATGAGTCTCACTTACATTATCTGGTTACCAGCAGATCATTGAGTGAATTAAAACACTGGCATGTTCAAATAATGCTTAAGGCTGTCACAGCAGGGCTGATTATAAATGAGAACTGCAACGTATGGTTAGTGGCAACTGCCAAAATTCCTAGTTGTAACAAAATATGTTTCTCTCAGTTACAGGCATTTAACTAATTTTTCTTAAAGTTTGGTAAGGGATTAAACTGAGAAAAACATAAAATCATTTTTCACCACTTTGCAAAAGTATATTCAAAATGAACAAAGTACAAACATGATTTTAAAACAATGTAGTTATTGTTTCATTAAAAGGAAAAAAATCTCTCAACCATCAACATTACTCAGATACCAAAAGCAGACAAGGACATTATAAAAGAAAACTACAGGCCAATATCCCTAATGAACAAAGATCCAAATGACTCAACAAAATCCTAGCAAATGGAACTCAATAATACATTAAAATGATTAGACATCATGACCAAATGGATTTATTCTAGTGATGGAACAAGGATGGTTCCATATTCCAAAACAATGTAATTCACCACATCAAGTAAAGATAAAAATCACATGATCACATCAATAGATGTAGAAAAAATATTGATGAGATTCAACATTCACTTTTGATAAAAACTGAAAAAAATGGGTATAGAAGTAACATATTTCAACATAATAAAGGCCATTATAGGACAAACCCACAACTAAATGTCATATTCAATGACGAGAAACAGAAAGCTTTATCTCTAAGATCAGGTACAAAACAAGGCTGTCCACTTTCACCACTACTATTCAACATAGTATTGGAACTCCTAGAAAAAACACTTAAGGAAGAGAAAGATGAAAAAGGAAACCAAACTGGGAAAGAAGCAAAACTATTACTATTTGCAGATGATATGAAAGTATACACAGAAAACCCCATGGACACCACTAAAAACTATTAGAAACAATAAATCAGTAAAGTGGCTACAAAATCAATACAAAAAATCAGTTGCATTCTTATGTGCAAACAATGAACTGGAAGAGAAAGAAATCAAGGACACCATTTCATTTACCGTCATATTAAAAATAAATACCTAATAATAAACATAACAAAAGAGGTGATGGGACTATACAATAAAAACTGGAAGATACTATTGAAAGGAACAGAAAACAAGGAGAAATATTCATAGAAAAATATTTCCTGCTCATGAACTAGAATAATCAACATTATTAAAATGGTCTTCTTACCCAAATGGATATAGTCATTATGAAATATATGTATTACAATATGTAAACTTACAGACTGTAAATTCAATATACATATGAAATCCCTAACAAAGACTCAATGGAATTCTTCAAAGAAATAGAGCAAATACGACTGTAACTTATATGGCATCACAAAAAGCCCAAATAGTCAAAGCAATCCTAACAACAAAAAAGGAGGTATCACACACCCAGACTTCAAACTATACTACTAAGCTATAGTAATCAAAACACTATTTTTTGGCATAAAAACAGACATACAAACCAATGTAATAGAATTGAGAACCCAGTAATAAACTCACACTATGTGAATAGTTAACCTATCACAAAGGAGTCACAAGTATAAAATGGAGAAAGGAAAATCTCTTGAAAAAACAGTGTTGGAAAAATTGGACAGCCATAAACAAAAGGATTAAATTAGACCACTATCTCACACTATAGGCAAAAAAAAAAAAAATCAAAATAGATCGAAGACTTGGGCATAAAACCTGCAATCATAAAATATCAATATGTAGGAGAAAACATAGGCAAAATATTTATGACACTGTTCCATGGTTATCTTTGGGAACTCAACTACAATGGCAAGGAAAAAAAAGCAATAAACATATGGGACAATATCAAACTACAAAGCTGCACAGTGAAAGAAACTATCATGAAAACAAAGACACTAACCAAATGGGAGAAAATATATTTGAACATCAAACATCTGACAAGGGAATATCTAAGCTTTACAAAGAACTCATACAACTCAACAAAAAGAAACAATCCAGTCAAAAAATGGGCAGAAAAGCTAAATAGATGCTTCTCCAAAGAAGACATACAGATGGCCAATGGGCACATGAAAAAATGCTCATCATCACTTCTCATCAAAGCCATACAAATCAAAACCAGTGAGATACCACCTCACACTAGTGAGAATTGCCCATATCAAAAAGACCAAAAACAATAAGTGTTGATGAAAGTGTGGGTAAAAAGGAACCCTTCTATACTGTTGGCGGGGGTGTTGCTTGGTTTAGCTCCTGTGGAAAACAGTAGGGGGAGCGGTCAAAATAGTAAAAATAGATCTACCACATGATCGGGCAATTTCACTCCTTGGTATCTGTATGTAGAATACAAAAAAAAAAAAAAATAAAAACAACATTAATTTGAAGGGACAGATGCACTGCTATGTCCACTGTAGCACTATTTACAACAAATTATGAAACCAACCTAAGTGTCCAATGACATATGAGTGAAATAAGATGATGAGATGTGTATGTATGTGTGAATATACACACACATACACACACACACACACACAGAATGTAATACTACCCAACAATAAAAAAAGAAATTTTGCCATTTTCCATAACATGGATGAACTGGAAGGGACGATGCTAAGTGAAATAAGTCAGAAGAAGAAAGACAAATACCAGATGATTTCACCAACATATGGAATATAGAGAAACAAAAAAAAAAGGAATGGACAAACCAAAACATACTAGAAATCTGATGTAGAATTGAGGCCACCAAGGTCGAAGGTGAGGAGCAAGATGCAGAGGAAGCCCAATGGTCTATAGTGGACTTTGCATGCCTTGGTGGTGGTTTTGGTGTGGCAACATACATCAGAAGAGGTGAAAGCCTATGCCTCTAAATCATAGATGGTGTTGTATACCAAAGTTACCTCAACAAAAAAAATACAATTTAAAAAAAAAAGAAAAAAGGCGGGGGGGGGATCTCTGAATCTCTATTTTTAGCCAATGAAGTGTAATATACTATACTACCTTCATTCAAACTGATATCTACTGAGTGGCTATTTGGCAGTGATAAAAAAAAAGTTATAAAGGATAAATTATGATTTCCAATCTTAAGTGTCTAGTAAAACAGTTGTCTTTTTTTTGAAGAAATGCTAAGTGCAATTTAACAGATTTGTCTGAATTGTAATCACAAAGGTTTAAAGGTTATTTTGATGGAAAGACAGATTTCCCATCATAAACTAATACCGGGCTTGACTTTAAAAATATTTTAAAATCTAGGGGCCTCCCCGGTGGCACAGAGGGTTGAGTGCCATGCTGTGAAGCTGTCTGCAGCCTCAGCAGCACAGGTTCGATTCCCGACTGGCCAGGGAGATTCCCACATGGCGTGGCAGACCTCTCCTGTCTCCCTCACCAGTGCACTCCCCTCAGCAGTGCTTTCAGTCCATCTGCCTGTTCTGCTCCCTGCTCTGTCTCTGGTGAATCCTCTCACTCTCCCGTGTCTCTGGCCTGTACCCCAGTTATTGTATCAAAATAAAAAAAAATTTAAATCCAGTTAATCCATATTGGAAAATAGTCAAACAATGCCCATTCTTATTGTAAGATCTTAATAATACTGAAGCATACAGAACAAATGGTGAAATCCTTACCTCCTCAGACTCCACCCCTATAAACTCTCTAGTAGCAACCATTGAGAACAGTCAGGCAAGACACACTGGCTTTTGAGTGAGAGGGGTGATACAATGGGTTTAAGAATTAGCAACATCTCACTAATGCAATGTGATCACTATAAAAATGGCTTAGGCTGATTACTAATTTTAAAATTCTTTTTTTTTTTTTTAAGATTTATTTTATTTATTTATTATACAAGCACTGGGTACAGTCAGAAGCGTGGGAGGGTGAGAGAATTCACCAGAGCCAGAGCGGGGAGCAGAGCAGGCAGAAGGACCGAAGTACACTGCTGAGGGGAGCAGTGGGCGGCAGGAGAGGTCTGCGCGCCATGCAGGACCCTCCTCCGGCGGCCTGGGAGCAGCCGGGGATCGAACTGCTGCAGAGGCTGCGGGCAGCTTCGCAACCCAGCGCTCAACCGCTGCGCCACCGGGGAGGCCCTAATTTTAAAATTCTTATCCCATTAGAAAGTAACTTCAAAATTATGAAAATAAAATTTATATCCTCTGTTCATCAAATTACAAAGAAAAAGATACATATTTTGCAATTTCAATTTGGGGATAAGAGTGTTCAAAACTAGAATTTTCTTTAATGGATTATAAAAAGATACAATCTTAGTTTTATTTTT